CCACAATGGTTTAGTAAGAAAATTTAAAATCAGGCTTGGTTTTTGTGAGGAGCTAGTAAAGGTTTTTCTCTTTCAGCTTTAGCTTGTTTCTGCGGAGGATTCCGCTCTTTCTCCATCAGTTTCACAGCCCTGGAATTGTAGAAAAGCTCTGGTTTCGAGACCATTGATACTCATTTCTGTCAGGGTGAGTTTTAAATTAATTTCATAATGCAAACTGAATATACCAAACAACAGAACAAGAACTTATTCTTGTCATAAGTAACTGAATTTCACCAGTAAAGTGCATCAACATAAAATATACCCGAATTGCTGATTAAGACCTAGAGTAAGTGATAGATTAACAATAGCATGTGCTAGTCTCTTAAGAAAATATGTAAAAGTATCTTCTCATTAACCTGTAATATTTATTTTGTAAACCGATAGGCTTTCATCTTTTTCCTAGAAGATATTAGGTGTAATTCTTGACTCCACCACCACGTGTTTTGTAATATAACTTTAATTTTGATGTTCCATTAAACTAAGCAGATAGAAGGTAAAACTGCATGAGTGATTCCTAACCATCGTGCCAGACGGGCAAATGAAAAATCTAAATACTCCTAAAAATCTTAACAGCCATGATTGCTAAATACTTACATTAGCATAAAGATTGTTTTTATAATCTAATAACCTTATATCATTTTAACTTTTTGTATACCAAATTACTAAGTTAACCTTTTGAGCCCTTGGCTTATAGTAAACATTCTAACTTTTGTGTAATTGTATTAGTTTCTTAGTTATTGCCCATGATGTAGAGTAATGTTGGTTTCTATTTTCATTTAGGATATATTCCATGAAATCATTAAATATTCACATTCAAACTAAAACAGTTTATACTTATACTTTTTTATATATTTCATACTAATTTTGCTGCAGTTGGATGAATATTTAATGGAACAAAGTAAATCAAAATACCTTTTTAAATGAATTGGGAATTTAATCTGCATAACGAAATTTTTATGACCACATTTGTTACAGTATGATGGCATGCCATATGATCAAAATGTGGAAATATTTATTTCTTTATTGACCTTCAAGGTTTTCTTTGGTTTGTGGGCTCCTCTCCAACTTGTTTCTTCACGTTTGAGGAGACTGTTAATATTTCTTGTCCATTTCGCACAAATAGTCAAATGAAAAAGGCTTCTATCTTCAAGTCTCATGCTTGCTATGCAGGAATGAGAAAACAATACAATTTGTTTTATATTATCTTTTGTTTTTCTAGTTACTGAATCATATTTGGAGATTTTTAGGTACAAGTTTTTAAGGAAAAAATAGTATGTACCTATCGTTGCTAGCAAGCATTGTCATTATTTAAAAGAAGTGTTTGGGGAAAATTTTGAGAAGCTATTTGGAAATAGGAATTAAAATCTCAAAATAACTTTTTATTGCATGGATGAGAATTATTAATGTCTACTTCAAAAAGCAAATAATTTTAAATTTTTTCATAAATATTTGCTACCATGATGTCTTGATTGCTTAAATAGCCAATGAATGAAAATGAGCAAGGATTTACATGAATTTTTAACTTGATTTTTGTCTCCTATGAAATAAATTCATGTTTACAAATTTTGATTATCAGAAATTAGACAATTATTTTGAAAGACTCAGGATGACAACTTCAGCATGTCACCAAGGAGTCAAAGCACAGTTATGTGGATTTGTCATAAATGACATCATTTTAATTATAATTGATCATTGTGTTTTATATTTAGAATTGTATTGTAACTACTTTAAAGCCTGTTATACAATAAAGTTATTTGTTGTTTTATTGAATATTTTATCTTAGAGCTGTTAGCATTAATAACAATTTGAAGTAGTTTCCACAATAGCTATGGATTTTGTCCTTCTGTTTTATGTCAATTAATCTTAGTTGCTTTACTCAACTTCATTGCTACTGATGTATCGCTATATTTTGGGTTAGCAGATCTTGCACTGGAACTGAATTTAAAAATAATCATCTGACTCCACTTAGAGCTCTGAAAATGCAAGTTGTTATTTGCATTTATGAAACACTTCCCTACTTATAGAATAAAAATGGATAATATTTGCTTAAAATATACACTATGACTAATGGACTTCTTTTAGTGGCTGTAAATAATAACATGTATCTGAATTCCCGAACAACATTTCTGTAGGGATATCAATGCTTTATTTCTCCAAGCATCCAAGTGCCTGTCCTTGAGCACAAAACAACCTATGAAGAATATAGTAACCATATGTGTTGTCTTATTTTTCTAACAAGACATTCCTAAGACGTGACTAGAAAGGCAATAGGAAAATGATTGCCTTTTAAAGGTTTTATTATACTTAATATAAAATTTGATGAACTACTTTTATTGATGAATACAGGTGGTTTTTCTTAATCATTTGATTTGAAATTTGTTTTGATTAAATTATGCATATAAAGCCAGTAGCTTTTTAACTCTTAAAAATACTTTTTTTTAAAAGTTAANCCCAAAACTTTAGTCAAATAAGCTTGTGTGCATAGACATGTAGAATATATGGATTAATGTAAAACCTTGATTAACTTGATTATCAAAAACTCAATAGTTTTGAGGAACCTTAATAGTTAATTGATGGCATCAGACATCAAGGAAAAATATTTACTTAAAAATAATAAATAAGTAAATAAGCCAGCCATATGTATCCTCCATTCAATCCTATGAGAATTATGGTTGAGAATTAAAAGATTTAGGTCTATAAGGTCGATACTGTTCAAAAATTCAATTTTGTTTTGTCCCCCATATGTACTGATATCAAGTCTGGAGCATACACTAGTTCATATTGGCAATTCAAAAGTAAGGGTTGAAGTATTCGTTTTCTTGAGTTTCCTATTACTAGGAAATTTAGTTAACTACAGCGTCACCTTCCTTGAGCATTCCAGTTAATCTAGGTTTTACTATATGTTGATATTCTATGTCTGGTTTGTTGTATTCAGCAAGCAGTCACTGCATTTTTCTTTTCACTTTTTAAACTATGCTGTTTTATACTTCTGAGATATCTAATTTTACTGAGGGGAAAAATGGAAATGTGGTACAGAGCTCAGTTATTTAGTGGCTCTAAAGGGTACATATATGTTTCCATTTTTTGTTATAAGCTGTCCATTCCTTCCTAACTTACATCGATCTGTTCCTTTCTTGTGCCCTTTGGTTTAACATTGTTCTCCTCCCCAATTTTCCTCTTCTCTTCATTGTAAACTCATGGCAGGGTCTGCTTGGTGAGCTCATTCTCTTACAACAGCAAATTCAAGAGCATGAAGAGGAAGCACGCAGAGCTGCTGGCCAATATAACACGAGCTATGCCCAACAGAAGCGCAAGGTGATGGATGGTTTAAGGGGGCTACTCATGTATTCACATTAATCAGCCATTTCTGCCAAGATCATGTCGCCTTTAATCCATTCATGGACTCCAATTAGGACAAATTATTTTTGACAAAGTAAAAATATGAAAGATACATAGTACAAATATGTAACTTTCCTGGAAGGGGTAAACACCCAAAATATCTATTTTCTGAAAATTAGATTATCAGTGAGGGCCCATGGATTTGTATTTAGAGAAGAATTATGAATGGCGGTTTACTGGGTCCAGTTACTTAATCATCCTAAGATTGTAGCCAACTTCTCTACTTGTTCTCTAAGTTTTCATTTCTGAAATGAAAAGGATTACTGTGGATGACAATGTTAAATTATTTGAAGAATGAAATGTATTTGTATTAGCCAAAATGGATCAGCAGAGAACATTCTTACTGTTTTTTTAGAAGAAAACCATTTTGATTTAAATTTTGGGCATAGTTATTCTTATATACATTGATAAATTCATTACATAAAGTTTGTCCACATTCAACAATAAAGTCAGCACAAATAAATTTTTACTTTTGGACCAAATAGAACATTGGAAATTTGATGCAATTCTGGTCGCTAAAGAACAGATTCTAATAAAAGCATAAATCTATACAAATACTTGTTTATAGGTACAATCAAGAAGTCCTTAAAATTATGCTTTTGGCTGTTAGATGATCTCACAGTATAGATAGATCCCAATGTTAATGCTCTAAAGGGACTTTTGAGTTGAAATGAATGAAGTAACTTTAAGATTATACTCTGAAATCTTGAAATCAGCTAA